GAGTAAATACGTCCTTCAATATTCCTCAATATTTTTTCCTCTATGGGTTTTTTAAAAGCACATACCGTGGTCTTTCCTTCTGCAAAGACATCTGCAAGCTTTATTTTCTTGTTTTACTGCCTTCGTTTTTCGAACGTTTTCAAATGCATCTGCTTTCACGATCTTTAAAAGTGCAATCCCTTTCCATCTTAGGAACTCCGAACAATTTCACAAATCAACTCGGTAAATTGCATTGACGTCTACATAGCGCACGTTTCCTGTCGTTACTTAACGAGATTTATTTTCCAAAAGCAGCAAGCAGCTTCGTACAAAGGACAAAGAGCCTGTTTTTGAATAGTTAGTCAGCTGCAGGTGTGTTTTCTTTGCTATTATGCAAGGAAATTTTTGCTGACACACACGAATGGAGTCTGTATTATTGTGGATGCGTGAAAACAACAAATCCTTGTTTTTACTGGACACATATGTAGGCGAGCCAGGGAATGATGATGGGCAGCTACTGCAAAGAGAGCTGGAGGCGGTATTCGTATAGTTGGATTAGGTTAGATATAATATCTACGCTACACACTTTTAATTGAGCTTTTTGGTATAGTATTTTCTTGTCTATGTACTGTAGAGGTACTGTAGGTTAACGGTAGATGTTAGATGGCATCTGTTCGGAAAATGCAGATGTCTGTAAAAAAAACTGGTCTAAAAACCTACTAAGAAGATATTTGGGGCTGATTGGGACATTTTGTGACATAGTATTTCATCCTAGGACATAAGCATGCTGTATTATGCAATGCCTACGGTAACCTTACAGTAAAGGTGGATGGCACGAGGTGGTTTTCATGGAGATGCTGCGAAACCCTCTTCAGTTATCCGGCAATTCCGAGCTTGTAAGAACTCAAGTTTTCCCCAGAACCCAGTACAACATTTATCTTCTCTTTATCCTCTTTGAACATCAGCCAAGAATCCCCAACCAAATATATAGCCCATCGTTATCTCCTTAAAATGAACGAGTTTCCTTACTTTCCTCAACTTAGCTATTCATTTTATTTCGCCAGAAACAACGTATTTGTCTGCATTGTCAGATGTCGATGCACTTTTGAGTGAGTGGCAAAGCGTGTGGGTTGAAAGTTGAGGAACTTGCAAAGCTGGGGAGTTTTTCTGACTTGCTTGTCACTTGTCTAAGATAGTTTTCTCGAATATCTAGGATTGAAAGATGAGATGGAGAGGCGTTTTTGAAATTGAAATGTAGTAAAGCACGGAATTTAAGTCAAATAATTTCATTGCTCCTAATACTTTAAGACATTATCAAACAGTTTTTAATTGAAGGTGATTGAGCTGCTTTTCTTCAAACGACCAATTTTCTGTCTGTAATTCGATCTATTTAGGCCTCTGAAGCTGCGGATTTCCCAAGAACGGCATTAATCAGCATTGCGTCTGTATCGGTGATCATGGTGATAGCCGTCGTC